CCCAGCCAGCCTAACCCTAACCCTTTGCTGGCTGGGGAATCCTGGGAGTTGAAGTCCACACATCTTAAAGTCGCCAAGTTTGAAAAACACTGACCTAGGGCTACCAAATATCTGGTAAAATACAGACAACTAATAGAGACAGCAAAGTGACACAGAGATCCTTAACTCTTCTCTGCCATCTATGGTCACTTGAATGTTTGCAGCCCAGTTCTGACATTTCTGCAAGAAAACCAAGGGAGTGGTTGCATTCACAGAACACACTAATTTGGACACAAGATGCTGAACCTTCCGCTAACCTAACAGGCTGGCTTCACTTTTAGGCTATAAAACCTAACCCAGGTTAACCCTAACCTAGTTTAACCGGTGGGGTTCAGTGCAGCTGGTAGGCCTTGAACTGAGGCAGTTCAGTGGGTTGTGTGAAGCTAGCCAGTTTTCTTCTGTTATGGAGGTGCAAAACCAAGGCTGGCTGGGGAATTCTGGGAATTGAAGTCCACCCATCTTAAAGTAGTCAAGTTGAGAAACACAGATGTATATCCTTGAAGAACAAATACCATTTTCAGGCAGGTTTTGTGGACCTGGGGTGGGGGGGAGCCCCTGAATGCAAAAAGCAATGAACTGAAGCTTTCAAAAGAGTTGGAGAAGGTGACTCATTTTGGGGTCATCAATTGCACCCATAGAACAAAGCCCTTGGGGAGATCATTTGAATGGCTGCATGAGTACAAATGTCTGAGTCACACAGGATTCTTCACCGGGCTGCTTGCAACTTCACTTTATTATTAGCAGGATACAGAGTGGCTCAGTCGGCACCTTTCCTTCCCTCTGGAAGAGTCTCCGAAGAAGAAAAAAAGAGCCTGTCCCACCACAAACCTCTAGATGGCAGCAGAGAGATACCGAAAACACACCCTCTCTCGCCCTCTAGTGGACGGCTGGATTTTTCAAGCCCAGCAGCGATGGCCCTGCAGAAAGGAGGGGTAAAGCCCCATTTGGGGTGAAGCCCCCTTCCTCTGTGTCTCGCTGGAATGGGAACGCCCTGGGGCTGGGGAGCTACGTGACTGCCAGTTGGCGGGAGGGAGGGGGAGAAAGGGGCTCCCCCATGGTTTGTTTTCCGCCTTGCCAGAGCCACAGGTCAGCCTAGATGAACGCGAGCTGGGCACGAGGCTTTTCAGGTGAGAGACCTCCTTATAGGGTCGGGGGGGGGGGGGAAACATGACCTCAGAAGCACTCGATGGATGGTTGGAGATGAACAATGGCAGGATGACCATCTCCTAACAAAACAGGGAGAATTACGCTTCCCTTTGTTAGACGTGCCTGGCAAAAACGGCACGTTGAGGCTCATGCGCTGGGCACAAAGAGTTTCTCCTGTGCTAAACGCTGCCAGAATGTGTGTGTCTGTGCTGGCAACAATTAGAAGGGTGTTTTTAAAATTCAGAGCTATGCGGGAAGAGCTCAACAGCTGGGGGAACGTGCCACACAAAGCCGTGGCTTGGTTAGTGTGATTTGTTGACCGAGCCATGGTTGGCTGGCCGTAAAGGACAAGCTGATCCATAAATGGAGGAGGATGGGGTGCAAGGGGTATGTTGGGCTAAACCAGAAGAAAAGGAGGTATGGGGAGGGAGTTGCTTAAATAAGGCCCTAATCCAGTGTTTCTCAACCTTGGCAACTTGAAGATGAGTGGACTTCAACTCCCAGAATTCCCCAGCCAGCCATGT